GGGAAGCGGCAACAACCATTTTTTGAAGAATGCTGGTATCCAGACAAGCTCCACCAGAACAGAGACATCGACGAAGAGAATGCTTCGAGAACAGCTTGCTGCTGAATAGGAAAGTTCTGCTGCCCTCGTCGATCAAGTAGATGAACTAAAGAGGAAGAAAGAATAGACTGAAAGGGAGCTTGAGGAATACAAGAAATGGCAACAGGACGAGTACAACAATCTCCATGAGCTATGCACGCGCTTCAACTCTTCTGGTAACTCTCAGTCTTCAACTCCAGCGGCTTGATGCAGTGAACATTTGTGGTTTGTCAGTGGTTCGCTGCTGTCATGTGAAATGTAAATTGTTGTTATTTGATTGCCAGGATAAATAGTTATGTAGTCAGTCTGTGCACTAGTGATGATCTTGAATTACTTCTATGAAGAATTGATTGTACTCCACACGGTAGAACTAGGACATGCCACGTGATCAAATAAAAATGTGACACATGGACGAACCAGTGCATGACACGTGAATTGGCTAGGGCACGACACATGGGCTATTAAAAATCCGACACATGGAAGGAAATCGTCAAGCCACGTGGATGTATAAAAACATGACATGTGGACGGACAACATAGTGATGCGTGGTCAAATAAGAAACGAACACGTGGACCAATAAAAATATGACACGTGGTCCAATGAAGAAGTGACACGTGATCCAACGGCAACATGACATGTGTGCTAGTAGAAAACTGACATGTGGAACAACAGGGAAACGACATGTGGTCCAATAAAAACCTAAAACGTTCAAGAACCAGAGGTGGCCATGTTGTGCAATAAGAAGGTGACACATGCCCGAACCATCTCCAATGCAACCGGCTATAGTATGTACACGTGGGCTATAGCATGTACACGTGGAAAGCATCTCCAACGGAAGCACCCGCTAGCGTGGCAGCCCCCTGCCACGCATGCCAAAGTAGTTCTATGACGATCTATTTTTCATCACAGATCAAGACACTTCTATGATGATTTTGTCAGATTTGTCATAGATATGCAAGAGTGACAGGACTTCTATGACAAACCGGTTTTCATCATAAATTCGTCATAAAACTAAAATTATGACAAATTTGGCTCCTTCAGTGATGAAATCTATTCATGAACATTCCCAGAAAGCAGCACTTATCTAGAATGATTTCAAAGGCTGGGCACCTCAAACTTTGAAAACATGCTGTCTAACTTGGACTCACTTTTAGAGCATGGAACTGATTTGAGCTCCATGAAACTTCCTTTTAGTATGATGCAAATTGATGACATCATGAAGCAATTGCCTACAAACAAGTCCCCAGGCCCAGATGGATTTAACAACTAGTTTCTGAAGAAGTGATGGCCCATAATTAAGCAGGACTTCTATAATCTTTGCTTTGCTTTCCACATTGGTGAGGTCTGCCTCCAGAGTATTAATGGATCTTACATTTCCCTAATCCCAAAGGTGGATGTCCCAACAAGAATTAATGACTTCAGACTAATTTCGCTATTGACCTCCTCTGTCAAAATTCTTACTAAACTTGTTTCCAATCTGCTGTAGCCCTTTATCACGAAGTTAGTCCATGTGAATCAATATGGCCTCATCAAGTCCAGGTATATTCAAGATTGTTTGGCTGGGTCTTTTGAATATCTCCATCTTTATCAAAAATCAAGAAAGGAATTAGTTATTCTAAAGTTAAACTTTGAGAAAGATCTTGACATAATTGAACATTGGGCAATGCTGAACATTATGGAGAAAAAGAGTTCTGGAGCTAAGTGGATTGCTTGGATGAAGTTGAGGTTTAGCACTGGTACTTCTTTAGTTCTTCTAAATGGCAATCTAGCCAAGGTGTTCCACTGTGGAAGAGGAGTTAGACAGGGTGACTCCTTATCCCCACTCTTATTTGTATTGGCTGTAGACCTCTTGCGGTCTATCATCAACAGAGCAAAAGATCAAGGTTTGCTAAATCTCCCACTAGCATTGCACAACTCTAGTGATTTTCCCATTCTGCAGTATGCAGACAACACTCTCATCTTCATGGAAGGTTGTGGTAGACAGCTCTTTTTCCTAAAAAGCCTTCTAAACTCTTTTACCTCTTGCACTGGGCTCAAGGTCAATTTTCAGAAATCAATGATGGTTCCAATTAAGCTGTAAAAAGAGAAATTGAGCCACTTAACACCTACTTTTGGATGTTCAATTGGAAACCTTCCTTTATTTTACTTATTTAGGGCTTCCTTTGGGCCTAACTAAGCCAAAAGTTGAGGAGTTCTTGCCCCTGGTCACTAGGTGTGAAAGAAGACTTGTCAGTACATCGTTGTCCCTCTCTAAGGTAGGAAACTTCAGCTTACCAACTCAGTTTTTACTACCCTTCCAACCTTCTTTATGAGTACCTTTTCACTCTATGTTACTATAAGAGAGCAGATTAATAAATACAGAAAGCACTATCTGTGGAGAGGCATAGAGGAAAGCAACAGGATTAATGCAAAGGATGCGTGGCATTTAGTCACAAAGCCAAAGGAAGAGGCTCATTACGGAGTTCTTGATCTCAAAACTCAGAATGAAGTCTTAAATCAAGAATCTTCACAAGTTTTCAATAGAGCCGACATACCTTGGGTGCACCTCATTTGGGAGAAGTATTACAAAAATGTTAAACTTCCAGACCACATCAAAAAGGCTATTTCTGGTCGAAAGACATCTTGAAGCTCCTAGATAAATTCAAAGGCATGGCTTCTGTCACAGTCTCAAATGGCTCAACCTGTTTCCTTTGGGATGACTGCTAGCATGGGCAACCTCTGAAGTTGACCTTTCCTGAACTTTGTTCTTCTGCCAAGAAGACGAATATCTGACTTGTTGTGCCTCTTCTATTACTCCACCCTCTGCCCTTTTTAACCTCCCTTTGTCTGTTGAAGCCTTTGAGCAATGCCAACAGATTAAAATGTCCCTTCAGGGGCTTTAGACAATAGATGGTAGTGATGTCTGGTCTTATATTTGAGGAATATCCCTTCTTTCCTCCAAGAGAGCATATCATCACCTTATAGGTACTTGCTGGACTCACCCGATCTTCAGATGGATTTGGACGTCCTCCTGTCAGCACAAATATAAGGTGTTTTCGGGCTGCTTGCTCAAGATAGGCTAAGTACTTGTAACATCCTACGAAGAGAACTTCTAGTTGCCCTTTTTCAGTGTGTCCTCTGTGTTAGCAACACTGAAGAAATAGTGGGGCACCTTTTTCTAAGATGTGGCTTTGCCAAAGCTTGTTAGATCAGGACTGGCACTACATGAAAAACGTTTTGTAGCAACGGGGTAAATTTTTTGTAGGGGTGGCTGGTGATGGAGCCGCCCCTACAGTGGCGTGCTCAGGAGCCCAGAGAACAGCCGCCCCTACAAATGAACTGCAGGGGCGGCTGGTGATACGAGCCGCCCCTACAAATAGGTCGGATTTGTAGACGCACCTGGTATACCAGCCGCCCCTGCTGTGTCCATTTGTAGGGGCGGCTGAATCACCAGCCGCCCCTACAAATGTCCGCTGTATATATAGCAGCCACAAAATTGTCTCCCCCTCCTCTCTCTCTCTCTCTCTCAGTCTCTCTCCTCTTCGCTCCCTCTCTCCCTCCACGTGGATAGGGCGGCGGCGGTGCCTGGCACGAGCGGGCGCGGCGGCCGCGGCCGCCTTTCTCCACCTCCTCCTCCCCCCATCGCATCATTTTGTGCCGGTCGGTTCCTCGCCGCTGGCTCACGCCTCGCCAATGGCCGCCGGTGTGCCTCCCACCTCGCCAGCCGGCACGAAGCGCGACGTTCGTATCTCCCCCTCCCGTCTTCAGGTCTCATTTTCCCCCGATCCCCAATTCCTCCTCCTCCAGATTTTGATTCAAGACACACAGCAGCAGTGAGCCCGCCCACCCCCCGATCCACCCTTCCCTCCCCCTCTCCCTCCCTATCCTCGGTGGATCCAGATCTGAGCCCCCTCGCGCTCTCATATCTCTCTGCCCCCTATCTCCTCCTCTCTAGGGGGTCAGCGAGCGCGTGATCTGCCCGACCGACCCGTGCGGTCAGGGCTGGATCGGGTCGGTTTAGATCTGCGGCGCCGTCCGCCTGGACGCGCCGGGGTGGCTCACGATCCGTTGTGTGGCTAGGGTTTGTGGGGAGAGATCTGAGCGGGGAATGAATGAATGGGGTGATGATACCCATTCACCACCACCGGTAGCCTTCACCGCCACCTGCAGACGGTGTGGATGGTAACACTTTTGTGTGAATTTCTAAGCCCGCGCGTGAGTCCCGCATGTATCATTTCATTTTTTTAACATTTGCATTTGTAGACATATTATTTCTTCAATTGACTGTTGCCTTCCCCGCTCATGTCGTATCATACGCTATACCATTGTATAAGTTGCTATTGTCATGCAACTCACATTCCTATTTTCATTATGTGCATTAATTAAGGAAAAGCAATAGGAAATCAAAAGCTGTAGAATACACTATATTTGAGGACAAATTTCAAATGCAAGAATACACTACATTTCAGGACGGAGGTGTAATTCACTCTCGCATGTAAAGAGTGAATTACTAGTCTCTTATTCCAATTCTCATTCGAAAAATGGATTTCTTGGCGAAGCCTACAGTCCTCGCTGCAATACAGAGCCCTAAGTTCCCATTTGTCTACAATATTGCCATAGACGTTGCCAGCGCACGGAAAATCTCTGTGCACCTATGCCTGTGGCGGCGATGACAACATGCCCCACTTCAATTGGCAGATTAGCACAGCACACACCCATTGTTGCTTAGACACGTACTCGTTGGTCCACCGCTGCCCGCAATCCTTCCTCACCCTCAACTCGTCTCATGTATCGCCTCATAGTGTCGTCATTGCCGGCAGTGCCATTGTGCCTATAGAGCAATAGGGCGACCAGATAGGCCGCCAGATTGTGCCCGCCATCAGTGGCATGGGCGAGATCATTGTGCAGGTGGTGAAGGAAGGGGGGACGCCGCGGAGGGAAAGATGGGGCTCGCGTTCGGGAAGTTCTTCAGCCGGCTCTTCGCCAAGGAGATGCGGATCCTCATGGTCGGCCTCGACGCCGCCGGTAAAACCACCATCCTCTACAAGCTCAAGCTCGGCGAGATCGTCACCACCATCCCCACCATTGGTGAGCCCCACTCATGTGCCCTTCATACGTTGTTGGATCGTGTTCGATTCCTACATTGGTGGATATGTTCAATTCGGTTGTGAAAGAATGCTCTGTTAATATTTATCTTTTCACAATGGATCGATGCGTAAATGATAGATCTGTAGGATGCACGATCTATCCAGACCTGAGTGCTCTAATTGGTTGGGGTTAGACGATACCTGCCCTGATACAGGGGTAATTAACTAAAAATAGCACTATTGCCTGCAATGCAAGTTTTCAACATAGGGGTATTATACGATAGTTGAAGAGGGCTTCACTAAAAAATAGCACTATTGCCTGCAATGTAAGTGTCGTTAATCAATAAAAAACCATTGAGTACTATTAGATCAAATGAACAGAATTGCCTGGTGTACATTAATGAAATGAAAGCATTTGATGTATTTTTATATCAGTAGTAGGTGCTTGGTTGGTGTTTTCCTTCCTGGGACCTTCAGATATGATCTAGGTCTTGTCGTGATTAATTTCTATCTCATTAATTCTATTTTACAGTAATGATCTGATATATTGAATCTTATAGGCAGCATGGGTTGCTGGGCAGTATGCCCATATCAACTTTTCAGTACCGAACAATTTTTGTCAGGCTATGCACTGTATACTCTCGGGAATGCACGATCCAGATCTTCCTGTGAGGGTTGATTCAGTCTTTGCACTTCGTTCTTTTGTTGAAGCCTGCAAAGGTTATTATCTGGTATCTCTAGTTCTAAATTGTGGACACCAGTTCAGATAATGATTATAATTTTTATCTCTAGTTCTAAATTGTGAACCAGATGGACTGCTATCCTATTAGTGTAGGACTGGTATATAGACTAGTCTTCTCCTTGATGTTTTTTAAACACTCCCAGATGTATATTAAATGGTTATCGGGTAATTGCACACTTTGTCCTTTGAGCAGTTTTGTAATGTTATACATGAATGTAATGATATAGTTTTAGTTGCATGGAATACGCATTTGCTCATTCATGAGTTACTGCTTGGATGGCATACTGAATGAAATATCAATTCTTATTGTATTCCATTATATAATAACGCCATGGTAGGAAAAAGGAACTTGACCACAGGTTACAGGTTTTTTGCTTTATCTTAATACAGGGCAGTACCGAAGGCTTTAGGGCAGTAATGATGGGTGCTACTGCAGTACTACAGTCGATTATAGCGCTGCATTTTTTTTGGTAAAGATCAGCTGGAATTTGTGCTAACTGGTTTAGATGAAGCTCATCACTAGCATATGCATATATGCTTTTTTTATTGTTTGGAGATGATTGGTCACTAGTTTATTGTTTAAAAGATCTCCAAAGGGGTGGCTTCCTTTACCCAGGTGTGCATTTGTGCTACTGAACAGGGGAGGGGTGGTGATAGCAAAAACTGTAGTGATAATGACTCCCACAAGCAAACTGAAAACATTTTCTCCGGAGGGTACTTAGATGAAGCTGATGATAGTTTTCCCTGCCTCACTCAGAGACGTTGACATGTTGCTTCTTTATTTCAATTTGCTTGTCCTCGTTGTATTTTAAGCTTATCTGTTGATCAAATTTAGGATCTCTGTTATCTAGTATTATTTGGACACTGCAACTATTCCTGTTGAAATATGTGCCTGATTACTTAATTAGCAAAGTAATGGTGAATGACTCAAAAGTTGTGCAGTAGTTTTGATCACTAACTTGAATTACCTTGATGGTGGTTTGACCGGTTTTAACTTTCAAGCTTTGATAGATGGGTCCTAAAGTGGCATTGCATTTTTATTCTTTGTTATCTTGTTTACATTCACTATGGACTGAACTGATTTGGACGCTGTCCAGTCTGATGTGTTTTTAGCACCATGTTGGTCCTAGTTATGAAAATTTGGCTGGACTAGTAGAGTAGTTCAATAGAAATATAGTTGGCATTTGAAAGGCCTGGCCTGGTTCATTATTTGGGTGCCCATGTAACGGATGACCTCAAAGGCTCAAATCAGAGTAGCAGAGTTAAAACCATAACAGGTAATCTGATATTGCACACATGAGTACTGACCACCATGTTTTTTTGTTGGGGACTAGATGCTTGAACTCATGCTGGATTTCTCACAGAGGATAAGCTGTATTATCTGACCAGCTTGCAAAACATAACTTTGTCCAAACTCTGTCAAGCTGTAAATAGAACCTTACCGAACAAACTTTAATTACTTGCATTTTCTTAGATTGTTGTTTAGAAAACTGTTTCTCTAACCAGTGGACTGGCTGTCGTCCCAGTGAAACAGTTTTTTAGCTGGGTTGATGACTTCTCATATTCCTTATCTTTGTTTAACTTTTCATTGTTGCTTACATGTAAATGAAGTATTCCTTGGTTTAAATTTGGTGTATCGATTTAATTCCTCCTTTAGTATGTACGCTATGAATATTCACATTTGAACTTGCAGAACCTGTCTTTTGTTTCGCCTTTTTGTATCCAGAGTAAAGTCACGTTTCTTCATGTTGCTGTCCTGAAATATTGGTAATTACACATGGATTTTATACCATAGTATTTATTAGAGTTTTATTTTGCAGAGAACGATAATGCTAGGAGTTCTGTTTCTGAAAGCACCGGCACTCCTTCCCCCTATGTCACAAATCAACCATATACCACCCTAGACCATTCTCAGAATGTTTACCAGGTTCCCTCTTGTACCATCATTTCATACTTAAAATTTGCCATTTGATTTACCAGTTCATTGTTTGCCAGAATAAACTAATACCCCCTATCAAATGTGCCGTTTTAGGTTTTCTTTCTGTCAAACCTTTTCTGTATAAGAGTTACATAGTAGGTTTACATTGTAATATTGATGTTGCTAGGTTCATCATAAAAATAATTTCACAATATTTGAACATATTTAAAATGTCATATTCTCATAAAACTAAAGTCAAAGTGTCATCTTGTAAGGCCGTGACAATGTCTTAAACCTCAAACATTTGTGATAGTGGGAGTGGCATTTTTGCTCTATTGGTTTTGTAGTATAATGTTCTGACCACTGCTAACAGCAGGTACGTGAACAAGTAATACATATTCAGAAGCTTACCCACAACAACCTACTGGAGCCTATGGATACAACAACGCATATCAACCTCAACAACCAACCAATATGTTTGTTCCACCTAGCACACCTGCCAATTCTCAGGTATTTGTGATTCAGGAAATCCTTTTTTTTAGCATCACATGTACGTGAACAACCCTATAGGCCAGTTGTGCTTGGAGAAGCTTCTCAGTGGTTTGTAGTTTTGAGTGCCCAGTTCGTTGCAGCAAGTATTTGGTACATTATGTTAGAATTTTTGAACTTATCACCTGTCTCGCTTGCACGCCCTTGTGCCATTAAGACTGCAAAATAGCAAATATTTGGTTTCCCTTGTTTTGGTGCTGTGTTTGAACAAAAGAAATGTAATGTTGGATATATTGTGGTATGTCTGAACATGTAGCCCCTCACCCCCATGTATTTGAAAATTTTCTTGCTCAAGTGTATGCTACTTTTGAGGGTTGACCAGCAGAATTTTGCCTCATCTGAAGTTAGTGAGTGTTTTGTGTCGTTTTCCATTTAAGGCAAAGCAAAATTATTACACTCATTGTTTATTTTGACATTTTTTTTCTAGCAACAGCCAGGCCCTTCATCTGTACCAGTGCCTCAGCACATGTTGGTAATTTAAATTTTTTTTGGCGGAAAATCGATTTGTAGAGGTGGTTGGTACTATAGCCGCCCCTACAAATAGATACTATAAGGGCGGCTGGTACTGTAGCCGCCCCTACAAATCGATTTTGTAGGACCAGCCGCCTCTACAAATCGATTTGTAGGGGCGGTCTGGGAACCGTCCCTACAAATACATGATTTGTAGAGACGGTATGGTAGGGGCGGCTGGCCGAACCGCCCCTACAAATGGCCATTAGCCATCCCTAGAAATCGATTCTGACGTAGTGTGGGCTATCTGTTGATGACTCTCTTAGCCCCTTTTAAATTTTTGAAAGCTTAAGAAGTCAGCTGAATGTGCCATTCTTCATGGAGATCATTGTCATTATGAGCTGGAGTATTTGGACAGTCAGGAATGATGCCATCTTCCGAGGAATTTCTAAGAACATCTTGCATTGTTTGGAAATCTTCAAGCATGTCTTTGGCCTACTGCTGTGGCACGCAAAGATAAAATAATTCCCTCAAATTGAAGCATAGCTAGAGCATCTTGTGTAATTGGGCTCATCTTTTTTGTCTCTTGAACCCTCCATTTTGTTCCTGTTGTCCTGCTGTTCCTTCTGCTATTTGTTTGTTGCTGTCGTAACTGTCTTGGTTACGTTAACAAATTCCAGTAGGGGTCCCAACCCCTCCTGTTCCTCAAAAAAAAAAAAAAAAAACTAGAGCACTTAGGTGAATTCTATAAGAATTCAGTACATTAGATCAACTATTAATCTGTATTTTTGGGCTTATAATATAAGGAAACATGCCATTTGAGCCAATTATGCATCAGTGCTGATTGGGTAACGAGGATACGAAAGAGTATAGTTAACTAATTATTTTTTTGTTATGTAGGAAACCTATTAATCTGCATTTGGTTGCTTGAGTTATCTAGCTAACAGGGCTACAGTAGTATGGTGGCAACAACGGTGGCAGACGGTGGCAATCCCACCAAGCTGCTGCTGGGCTTAATTATAGACTAATTGGAACGGAGATTACAAATCAGTCTATGGCATGCATTGCATAGCCTAATTTGTTTATGCCTGATAACCAATGGCAGTACCATTGCGCTAGTCACTTAATGAAGGATGGCTTATCATATGCCATTTGCATAACAATGTTGCATGTATTTTGGTTGCTATGATTTTTGTAGTCACTTCTTTTGTTTACCAACATTGCCCAATTTATTATGTCATACATAAGTTTGTTCATGGCACATTTAATTTATTAGTTTCAATCATTGTAATTCCTTTGACAATTCTGTATATTATCCCCGCTATGCAGTTCCAAATAGGTTACTTGATGTGCCTACAAAGAGTTATGCTAACTTTTTTCTCTTTCCATTGCTCCAGATATACTCCTCCAGTGCTCCCATAATGTTAGAAAGGTAAAGAACAGGAGGTTCTTGATTCCAAATATGCTTTAAACTTCTAATGTATATGATGTGTCTGCATTAATAATGGCAAGCCTGAACCACTCATCTAAGAATTTCTGCGTTTGACAACACAGGAGCATGAACCATCATATCAACCTTTGCACAATTCGCCTCTGCTCTGGATAAAACAAGTCAGAATCAATTGGCATTATTTTGGCAAAGGTATGGGATAAAATGATAACAGACAGTACAAGTGGTAACAAATGCAAGACAAAGAATGCTCATAAAAGACCAGACAGGGTGCTCATAGAAGACCAAATATTTTGTGAAACTGACACGGAGCCGCTGCAGGAGATTATTGGCAACGCCCACATGGATCTTCCACCCAACAATGGACACAAATTCAGTAACTAAGATGAGGCGACAAGAGTGGACTCCATTTGCGCGCAAACTTGGACGCTCCTCGTGCCACACCAACCACCAAAGGTGACCGGATTCCCATGCCGCAACACAGGAGGGCCATTCTTCTTGTTCTATAGCTATTCTTCTGTTCCACGAGGGCCTTTGCTTATTGCTATTATTGCTGGGGAATCTGCACTCAAGTTTGAGCAAGATTCACCGATGGAAGGTGCACTTTCCTGAATGTCTGAATGGAGGACGAACAACTATGAGAAAATGCACTTTTGAGCACCTGACGGCTGTTTGTAAGCATTAGATTGGCTACTGCACTTGTTACTGTTATAAAGTACCAAGCAACGTCTGGATGCAGAATTTTTTAATGTTGGTTTGCACTAATTGCCATGTATTGATGCTTGAAAAATTCATATAGAACTTAAGTCCGAAAGTCTTACAAGAACTAAGTATGAATGTCTTTTGGCAAGACTGTTGGACCATGGAGGTCCCCTTGGAAATTGCTTATGCAGATCTCTACAGCTTGGCTGATAATATCGAGTGTAGTGTGGCTGACTGCTGGATTGATGATGATTGGTATGTGGATTTCAAGAGATCTTTATCTACTCTTGAGTATGAGAGATGGCTGAACCTGGAAGCAGAGTTATCTGAAGTTTCTTTATCAGACAGATTGGACTCTATTTCTTGGGCCTTAGAGCATCTCCGGCAATACCTTCACCTATCCCCATAAAACTTTCATATTGGGGACAGCTATGCTTTTTCCTTGCTCCAGCAGTTTCCCAATACCTCTCCCATTTTTTGGTGGCCACCAATATTTTCCTCATGAGGTACAACTCCCCCAATACCATTGGGACCATCTCAACTACCACTTTTCAGCCATATTTTCTCTTACACTCCTGTGGGACCTACTTTTCATATAGGTATTGGGGGAGATATATTAGGGTACTGCTGCAGCAACAAAATCTAGAAAATGATATTGGGCTACCCCAATACCATCTTATTGGGGGAGTTGTACTGGGGAACTGCTGGAGATGCTCTTAGATAAGTCTAGAATTTTCTCCACCAAATCATTATATAGATTTATGACTGATAGAGGGGCGGCCAGCAAGGTGGCTGGGATTATATGGAAATTCCAAGTCCCACTGAAGATTAATTTTTTTTCTGGCAAGTTTTTAACAATAAGCTTCAAGTGGGTCAAAGTTTGCTTAAGAGACGTTGGAGAGGTTCTGGAAATTGTTGTGTTTGTTGTTGCCCAGAAACTGTTGATCACATTTTCTTTAGATGTCATCTTGCCAAGCGTATTTGGAGTGTTATCAAGGAAATCTGGCAGTTGGGTAGACTACTTAGGCCCTGTTTGGTTGGGCTGTGGATTTTAAAAAAGCTGTTGTGAGCTGTGGGCTGTGGAAAAGCTGCTGTGAGCTGAGAGCTATGGAAAAGCTGAAAGCCGTTTGGTTAGAGCAGCTGTGAAACTGCAGGATGTGTAGAAATGTCTGTAATGCCCTTAAAGGCCCGAGGGACTATTTATATTCAAATTGCTTGTAAATAAATATTGTACTCACTTATTTGTATGTAAATGACTATTTTGGTAAGGAAAAATAAATTTGTTCCAAGTTTTTTAGTATTCAAAGTGATTTGGTCCATACAAATATAATAATATTAGCATTTTACAAAAGATAAGGGCTCATCAAATCATGTCATCCCTCAACATAACTATCTCACACTAAACAAAGCATCGGCTATTCTACTACGAATGATATTCATGGCATCCTCATTCTCCACATCTTCAATCTCATCTTCCGGTGTCGTGTCATCCTCTTGTACCAAGTATTCATCATCATCATCACATCTTTCGAACTCCTTATCATGCAAATTGCTATCACGAATAAAATTATGCAATGCCAAACAAGCAAGAATGATGTGCTTCTGAGTACGAGTTGAGAAACTTGGTATGCCCTTCAAAATACGCCACTTCTCCTTCAATACTCCAAAGGCCCGCTCAATGACATTTCGAAGGGATGAATGATTGAAATTGAACACCTCATATTTCCCTTGGGGTGGTCCAGAACGATTATGAAATTCTGGAATATGGTATGTGCTTCCTTTGAAAGGGGCCAGATACCCTGTTCGGTTTGGATATCCAGAGTCCACAAGATAATATTTCCCTACAAAGTAAAATCAATGTAAGCAAATAAATAATACAAGTACCTCACGTACTGCTGGTCCAACCATTAGGAAGCAAATACATAATACGTGTGATATGTGTATACCTTTAGGAGGCATAGGAAAATCATCAAAATTTGCCAAAGCATGATTGAGGATACGTGTGTCATGGGCACAACCGGGCCAACCAGCAACCGCAAAGATAAACCTCATGTCAAAGTCGCAAACAGCTAGCAAATTCTGAGATGTATATCCATGACGGCATGTGTGATTAACCGTATCCTCAGCTGGCACAACCACTGGAACATGTGAACCGTCTATTGCTCCAATAGCGCCTTTGAAGTATGGCCAGAAACGGTCTTCTTTGATTCTTCATGTTCCGAAGAAAAAGTAGCATCTCTTGGCTTAATATTGTCTTTACCTAACTTGCGCAAACACTTCAGCACCTCATGAAACTTAGTGTGGACTGTCCACAGTGAACGAGTGAAGCGATTTTCCACTTGTGAAAATGATTGCGGTCCTCCGACAATCCACAAGAACATCGCCAATGACTCAATGGATGAAACATTGTTAGTGGAGGTCAAACCATAGTTCAAGACTAGCAACTCATGCAGTGCCATGAAGACATCTTATAGAAGTACCTTGGATGAGAAAAGCACCTCATCACCCATTGCAGTCCAGTTTCTGGTGTTTCCCTGTACTCTCCTTTGTTCCAATAACGATCAGTGTATTGTGCACCCATTTGACCAATAATGGCAGCATGCTGGGAAAGCTCAGCTAGGAGTAGCAATCTCTTCTGTCCTTGGGCTACACCTTCCAGGTTCTCATCCATCTACAAAAAATATTAACATTTATTAAGCTCGGTACAAGGATATATATCTGACACAATGATAATAAGCTCACAGTACAAGGACAAAAATATATGTATACATGCACATGGATACTAATCTGACAGAAGGATAATAAACTCACAATACAAATAATTTTAGTACAAATTGTTCTCAGTACAAGCAAATTGTTCTCAGAGTACAATTTAAAATTGGTTCAGGTAGCCATACAACTAATAGTGCTCACAATACAAATTCTTAATGGTTCACACAGCAACAATAGAAATAAAAATTGGTTCACTAGCGCCTCATCTCCTTCTCATGCTCTCTCTCAAGGACATCCAACCTTCCTTTGTTTGTTTTCAGATGGCTGAAGACCTCTCTAAATTCAGGCTTCATGATCAGCATGGTGGCAGTGTGCATTAGAGGAGTTCCTTCTTCCACCCGACACTCTTCGACCATCTTCATAGCCTCTCCAATAGTGGGGACAACATTAGTGGGAGAAGCTGAGGTGGCAGATGCACTAGAGATCCTATCTGCTGCACTTTCTATCTTCAAACATGTGTTTTTGTACATTCGATAAAATGGACTCTTTTCTTCTTTGCTTTCAGCAATAGTACAGGAGCTCTTGCGTTTCTTTTTCCCTTTTTGCTTCAAATCAGCCAGCTTGACATCATCTTTAGGTGGAGGTTTTGGCACCTCGGCCACGCAATCATCACTCTCATCCGAAGATATATCACCAGGACAAGCTGCAGTGGCCCCAGTCACATGTACCTTGCCGAAAATCAGATCAAGATCATCAAGGTACTTCGGTCCTTGTTTTCTGAACCTCACATGATTGCATTTAAGCCCTTTTTCACGATTATTGCACCTCTGAAATTGAATGAAAAATTTTAGCACGACACACCATATCATACTATGGACAAAATATCAACAGAAATAGTGCTTACAGCAAGGTGTTCATCCCACCAATCCTGGGGGCAATCAACAGTTCCCTTAGCCGCATCCCATCCAAGTCCAGTGGCATAATTTTTTAACTCCATGAACCAAACATATTCTTTTTTTAAGTTATCTAATTTGTTCTTCAATTGTATCTTTGTTCGCTTGTCACCAGTTTTGGCTTCAAACTTGGCTACAATATTTTTCCAACGATTGCTAGTCCAAAGCCCACAGGGCCTATTCGACTTCTATCTCCCTTTGCATACATCAATCAAATGCTTCAAAAAGAAATCACCCCAATCGCCTTTGTCACCCATTCTTGAATCAAACAAAACAAAATTTTCAGACATTCTAATTACCATAATATCATGCCATTATTTCTATCAAATACACAGCACACTGAACTGAGAATAAATAACATGTATCTGGAAGCGTAGATCGATGGAGCTTGGACTTGGTTTGCCAATGTCGTTGATTAATGAGCTTCTTATACAGATTAAACGACTTATAGTTCCGTTTACAAATAGGAATACCGGATGACGGTCTTGGAGCCAACAAAAGCCTCTATCTTCTTCGATCCACGGTCAAAGCTGAAAAGAAAAGAAACATAGTTGACACACGAATATTACATGCAAGATGTGGTCTTATATTTCATCGACAATTTTTTGGGCGGTGTATGGATTCAAGAACGATAAATGGTGTGCTCTTGGGGCAACAAGGCACGTTATCATCACAATCATATGCAAAAAAAGCGATCATCATACACCGAAAAGAAAGTTGTGCAGAGATAACGATAGTGTGAGCACATGAGGCTATGGGAGTTTGGGACCAAGAGTGGCATCATGACAACAAATCATGATGCTCAAAGACGTCAATAAATTCAGGTGTCCAATCAGGACCAAGTTAATGCTTGCAATCAAAATACTATGAAGCGAGAGAATGAGAGAAGCGAATCGCTAACAACCCGTGTGTGTAAGAGTGCATTCGAAAGGCCATCCGCAAAGTATATGCTTTGATAAAGATGCACGCCTTTTCAATTGGACAGATGAGATGCATGATTTTTGGATCCTGCTTAACTTGTGTCCGCAGACTAATTGCAAGAACACATGCTTTGCTGGCTTAGAGAATCTAGTGTGCCCTACCCAGGCAAATGACACCACCAGTTGAGCAAAGAGCACTACTGCACTAGAGTCTTCATCAGTTGAAATTCCAACATCCACAAATTAACGCATCAAAAAGCCCGGCGCATCATCCCAAGACATTAAAAAATAAAAATCCACAACGACACAATTAACGCATCAAAAAGACAGAAAACATCTAGTCTTTTAGCCAGAATACACCACAAAGCCCGGCGCTTCATACCTGTGAAACGCAAAGCGCGCATCGAAACAAACGAAACCCAAGTGAGGGGTTGCGGTCTGCTTACAGCTGCAGGGCCTCGAGGAACTTATCGTGCTCTTGCTCCGTCCAGCTCTCCCGGGATTGAGAATAAATAACATGTATTAAACCATTTATGAGAGATTGAGATACCTTCTGTGTAGATCCGGTCACTGGAAGCGTAGATCGATGGAGCTTGGACTTGGTTTGCCAATGTCGTTGAGCCCAGGAATCGCTCTTAGCAGCAGAGTGTTCTGTGATGAAACAAGAAAAAAAAGGAAAAGGCTTCTCTTTCAGAAGACAGGACCTTTATCTATCATCCGCGACTGCAATCGAACACTATACGTGGATAGAAGGAAAGGAGCTTGTTAATCCAAGAAAGCTAACCTGCTTGTCAAGTGGGTGGCGGAAGTCGTCGGCGTCGAGGCCCGACCTCGACCTGCAACCGAGAAGGGGCAGAGACAGGGACTCCCGCCGGGGTGACCAGTAGGGCGATGAGGATGGGGACGGCGCCGGAGAGGATGGGGACGGCGCCGGAGAGGACCGGGCGGCGCCGGAGAGGACCGGGCGGCGCCGGAGAGGATGGGGACGACGACGGAGAGGACCGGCCGCCGCCAAACCCTAGCTCTGCCTAGGCGTCGCCACCTACGGACAGACGAGTCGTCTCGCGCGGACGGGAAGAAGAGGAAAAGATCGAAGCGTTTTCTTTGTAACCTGTGGCAGTGCGGGTAATTTCCATCCTCCACAGTCGGTGAAAGCAGCCCTCCCCCTGCTGTGAAAAATGAACTACCCAAAAGCTAGCTTTTGTACAATTCAGTACCACCTTTGCAACCCTTTGGTTAGCTTTTTGACTTCTGAAGAAGCTACAGCCGGTTGGAAGCTGAACCAAACAGGCTCTTAGCTCCTTATCTGATCTGTGTTGTGAATGGCTACAAGGCAAGGGGCCTTTGCTTGCTCATGTTCATTTTTGTAGGTTTTGGGTGGGCTCTGAAAGCATCTAGGCCCCTAGTTGGGTTTCGATGATTAATGACAATACGTGATTACTGTGACTAACGAGTGTTTTGAAGAGGCAATTAAGTTAGGTCATGGTAATGGAGATCGATTGGGCAATCATGGTGGTCATGCCCCTATGATGGAAATCGTTTCGGTTTTCAAATGATGGACGACAAGGTTAAAGATTGATTAGTTCTAAGTGTCGTTTGGAGTAGAAGAGACACTTAGAGTAGTTTAGGACTTTGTTTTTTCTTTGGCTGTACTATTAAGGGAGGTATGGACGCGTAGCTTGACATAGGTGAGTCTAGTGAGTTAGGTGTGGTGCACACTTGCTAAATCTAGCACTAGGTAGCTCCAAAACAGCCCTTAGATCCAATGGAGCAAACTTCATTCACGTATGATCGAGAGTTGGAAGTGAATGGATGGTCAAATACTGACCGGACGCTGGTTCTGGATTGACCGGACGCTGGCGTAGAGTCCGGTCAGTTCATTTGACCAAGGTGAAATCGTCTGGTGCAACCGGACGCTGAGAGGTGAATTGACCGGACGCTGAGAGCCAGCGTCCGGTTGACTCTAGTAAGGTTCCAGAGAGGGAAAATCACGACCAGACGCATCCGGTCAGTGCTGACCGGACGCTGGCCAGCGTCCGATCACACTTTAAACACTGGAGTTCAGGATGAACTGACCGATGCACAGAACGGTTCGTTTTTCAGCCGGTGTTATAAATACCACCTCCACTCGTGTGTGGGGGTACTTTTGCTCATTCCAACAGCTAAGAAACACCTTAGAGAGTGCCAAGAAGAGCAAGGTCCTAGTGAGGTGATTAAGATTTGAGAATCCCAAAGAGAGCCCTCATTAGTGAGATCAAGAGTAGCAAAGTGTGCATCCACCCTTCTCATTAGGCTTGTCGTGGTCAAGTGAGAGTTCGTGCTTGATACTCTTGGTGATCGCCATCACCTAGACGGCTTGGTGGTGATTGGAAGCTTGGTGATCATCCGGAGAGCTTGTGGATGACCCAACTCAAGTTGTGAGCGGTTGTGGGTGATTCACGGCGATAGAGTGTCAAAGAATCAACCCGTAGAGAGCACTTGATCCTTGCACGGATCAAGGGGGAGCTATACCCTTGCGCGGGTGCTCCAACGAGGACTAGTGGGGAATGGCGACTCTCCGATGCCTCGGCAAAACATCGCCGCGTTCCTCCTTCTCTCTTTACTTTGAGCATTTACTTTGAGCAATTCAATTCTTATCATTTACATTCTTAGAATTGCGATGATAGAGTAGGATTGGAACATAGGTTGTAAGTCTTTTGTGCGGTAGAACAATTAGAAACAATTTCTAGGCACAAGGGGTTAATTGGTCTAACCATAGGATTTAATTATTGCAAAAAAAATTAGAATTAGCCGAATTCACCCCCCCCTCTTGGGCATCTTGATCCTTTCAATTGGTATCGAAGCCTCGTGCTCACGTATTTAGGCTTAACAGCCTAGAGAAAGGTGTCTCACGGGGATGGACCTCCTCCTATCTTCAAGGGGGACGATTTTCCTTATTGGGAAATTCGTATGGAGGCGTACTTAGAAGCTCTAGATGTTGGAATACTTAGAGCTACCTCACAAGGCTTCCCAAAACCTAAGGATGCTACACACCTACAAGGCAATGAGGTGAATTACAAAAAATGGAATGCAAAGGCTCGAAACACCATCTTTAGAGGCCTTTGCAAAGATGTGTTCAATCGGGTGAGGAACCACAAAGACGCCTATGCACTATGGTCGGACGTTTGTGCGCTCCATGAGGGAACAAAGAGTGAGCGTGAGGAACGCTATCATCTTGTCATGAAAAAGCTCAACTCTTTTGAAATGCTTCGTAAAGAATGTGCTAATGAAATGTATTCACGTTTGAATGTTCTTGTAGAGGAAGTCAATGGGCTTGGACTTACTCAAATGCAACCATCCGATGTTGTAAGAAAGATCTTGAGTGTCCTCCCCATTGACAAATATGGGCATATTGTGACCGTGCTTCATCAAGGTGATCTTTCCACCGCTACACCGACATAAATCTTGGGAAAGATCAATGCTCATGAGATGTACATGCACATCACACCTCAAGATGGCTCATCCTCCATAAAGAAGAAAGATAAAGACTTAGCATTCAAAGCTATTCAAGAGAAGGGAAAAGCAAGGCTTGAGTATGAGAGCTCAAGTGATGATGAAGTTGATGATGCAAGCCTTGCTCTCATGGTGAAGAAAACCGCCAAGATGCTAAAGAAGCTCAACAAGAGTGGCATCAAGTTTAATGGCAAGAAGAAGAAGTTCTTCACTAGCTCTAGAAGGAAGCCAATCTCCGAGATGGATTGCTACAATTGTGGAGAACTTGGTCATCTAGCTCACAAATGCACAAAGCCCAAGAAAGACAAGTTCAAGAACAAGAACAAGGGCAAAAAAGATGACTCAAGTGATGAAGATGAGAAGAAGAAAGACAAGCCATACAATAAGAGAGATGGCAAGAAGAAGAACTTCCACAAGAAGAAGAAGAGTGGAAAAGCATACATCGTCGGTGATTGGCTCACGGACATTGATTCATCTAGTGGCTCATCTGATGATGATAGTGACAACGAGAAGGTGGCCACCATTATTATTGACTCATCATCTTCACCGCCACCACCGCCAGCATCCTCTACACACCTATGCCTTATGGCCAAGGGTGAACGCAAGGTATCAAACGATGATAGTAGTGGTGATGAACATGCTAGTAATGATGATAGCGATAGTGATGATAATGAATATGAATCACCTTTTTAAGATGATCTTGCTAGATTACTAAAACAATACACTAAGATCATTATAAAAGACTAGAGCTAAGAATGAAAAGCTTGAGGCTAAAAATGATCCACTTTTAGCAAAATGTGATATAGCGGAAAAGGCTAGTGTTGAGCTTAGAGAAGCAAATGATG